ACATTTTGAGCACTAGCCCTTTGTTAGTGTCCATGACAACCTGGTCGATTACTCTGTAATATATGTCAAGTCTAATTTTGAAGTGATTGATAGCCTTGCTTTTATAGAGTAATTTCATGCTATGAATATGAGATTACATGTCATGTCCATACAACTGTACATGCACAAAGTAATGTGAAAGATGCAATGGATCTACAGCTGCCCCACTAAATAGGAGGTTCAACTTCTGGAAGGGTCAAAAGGAGGGTGGAGTGAGTAGGAGGGGGGAGGGGTGGGTAGGAGAAGGGTGGGGTGGGGTGGGGTCATTGTGGGAAAGACACCAAACTTTGACTGAAAACCTGTCATTACCAGAAGTTCAAATAATTACCAACAAGCGTAACAAGGAAGCCTGAAAAAAAGCCAGAGAAGGGGGTAATCTAAAATGGATCAGCATCCTAAAGAGGGAGAGTTCTAAGCAATGGATGCTGAGTAAATGGATGTCTGCTTTGTTGCATCAGGTGCTGCAGCACAGATTCACCGTGGATACCACACAGTTGCTGACCCTGCTGACAAACCTCCTGACATATCTCATTTGATTTTTGTGGTTCATGGAATTGGACAATTAATGCACATGAGCAATATTGTCAAGAGCTGTGTTAGCCTTCAACAGTGTGCTGTAACAGTTTTAGAGAAACATTTTACGGATAATCCACCTGATCAGCGAGTAGAGTTCATTCCAGTGGAATGGAGATCATCACTTAAACTAGATGAAGGTAAAAAAATTCACCTACCCAGAGGTGATGTTGAGAGATGTGCTCTTCTAACAGTTAACATTAAAGTCCTTAGATCTGGTTTTTAATTCTTCCCTCTAGCTGCTACACATTTCTTGGTAAGTTAGTTGTAAGAATTTAGTGTTTAATCAAGTTACAACTTTAACCTGATAAGTTTGAGTATTCTAATTAGCTGTTTGCTGGACAATATGTGGATATTTTCTCTTTCCACCCAGTGAAATGAAATGGGGGCAGTGAAATGAAATGAAATGAAATGTGATGGGGGCAGGAAGGAGGTCGGTTTGGTCTGGCACACCAGTAAGTTCTTTTTAGCTTAGTGGTAGAGCATTGGGCCACAGGAGCAAAGATGTGAGGTTCAAATGGTCATTTGGAACAGATATATTTTTTTGTCTCATGCTCTTGTGTAATTTCCACTTCCATCAAGGTACAATTGAGAGCATAACACCTGCTTCAATATCAGGACTCAGGAAGATTCTTAACACCAGCATGATGGACATCATGTATTACACAAGTCCATTTTACAGATATGAGGTAAGGGGCACCTTACCTGTTAGCTCTTTGATTCCCAAGGGTTAATGGAATCTAAATTATCTTTACAATAATACCCCTAAATCACACATTGAGGTCAAGAGAAAAAAGGAAATGATCAATAACTGAAGATACTCTCAGTGGTCTTGACAACAAATTCTGCTTCACAGCACCTTAGGAAATGTGTAAAAAATTATATGGAGAATATGCATTCTGATGTCAGGGTGTAAAAAGTTAACTCTTAAGAGTGACTAGTGGTTAATTTCTCCAAATAGTTTCACTTTACAATCAAATGTAAAGGTTACAAGAAAAAAGGAAATGATTCCGTAGTCCCTCCCTCCACACAGGATCACCAATGAGTGCATGCAAAAATTGCATTTGTTTAATGGTTTGAAAAAATGTCAATCAGCTTGAAGGTTTTTTCCAGAACACATTGTTGAACAGACTAGAACCTTGAGTAAGAAAATGTGAATGACGTGACTCCAATTTGATTTTGCATTCTGTTTCAGATCATTGACAGTGTAAGAGATGAAATGAACCGTTTGTACACCAAATTCTGCTCCAGGAATCCTTCATTTGTGGAAAGAAACGGCAAAATTTCGATAGTAGCCCACTCGTTGGGGAGTGTGATTGCGTACGATATCTTAACACTTTGGGACATCGAATCAAGACATCTTTCTCCAGATTCCACAGAAAGCATTGGCTTTCTTACAGAAAGCCTGCAGTACTTGCGGTCAATAACCAGCATGACGAGTAATGAGAAGAAGGAGTCTGGGCCCGAGGGTAAGAGGAAAGAGAATTTACGAGTTGAACTCGCTAAAGCTCGGAGCGAAGTGATGAGGCTTGAGGCTATGATGACAAGTGAGGTGGAACACGAGAAACAAGAAGCTGAAAAAAGCTCAGGCGAATGCCCTTTTGCGCTACGGTTCAAGGTAAGTTACCAGGCCTAGTCTCGCACCGAGAACTTTCACGGCCAAGCGGTTCAGTCACACGATGGGATCTGGGCACACGATTAGACGTGGGCGTGAAGAATTTCAGGGGATCATATGGTTTTTAGGTAGAACAGAGGGTGGATCAGTAGTCGTCATTAGAGTATAAAGGGGGAAAAACGAAAATTGACTGCGAATTAGTTGCCAATTAGGAGGAATCCTATTATTGATACAAAACCTGATAGAGGATCAGATAAATTTTTTTGTGACGCAAAGCTGAATTTAAGCAAGTTTCCCACCCAGTTTGCGTTCTTTTAGGTTGAAAACTTATTCTGTGTGGGATCGCCGCTGGCAGTGTTCTTAACGCTACGAGGGCTCAGACCGCAAGACGACGTAGAAGATCATGTGCTACCAAAGTCAGTTTGCAAACGTGTGCTGAATATTTATCATCCAGCTGACCCTGTGGTGAGAAATAACATTATATAAAGATATATTTAAAGTTGTTATAACTTGAAGTCAGTGGTTGAAACCGTATTGTGTGACAATTTGATTGAAAGCAATGAATACTTTCATGTGATACTGTTTATTGTGCTGCACAAGGAGGGTCTAACTTTTAACGCTAGAGATGAGACCGTAACGTTTGACCATTCGAATGAAAGCTACAGAGCAGTACTTTCATAAGGTGTTGATTACTATGATTTACCGGGTGGTTCCAACTTTTACTGCTTTTATAGATTTTTAATCTGGGACTGTCCTCAAGCTTCCTCAATATATTTTCATGCAGCTAGTGTCTGATATTTTCTTTCCTTTGTTGTTGTTGTTTTTTTTTCAATCGTTGTGAATTTATTCACGGGAAAGTAGAACCCAATTAAATTTCCGAAGCTCCCAAGATGCGGCTTCGTGGCTCATTTGGGTGGTAGAGTTCGAATCTCGTCAAAGTCTGAGTTTTTTTTCTAGGCTTTTCTTCTGCAAACAGCTTGTCTTGCCTTTCTTTGCTTTTCTAATTATTAATTACCATAAGAATCAATTTTTTTTATGTATAAACAGGCTTACCGCTTAGAGCCTCTGTTAAGTTCAGACTACAGCAGCATTCCTCCGGTACAACTACACCGCTACGACAGCAAACAGACAGGCTACACTGAAACCAAACCAGCTGGCAAGTCTGCCAAGTGGGGAGCCCTTTTAGCGGTATATCGAGCTGGTTTTTCCAAACAGAAAACAGACGATGAAGCCAGTGATCGATCAAATAGCCCAAACAGTGAAGCGGAAAGTACAGATGAAGAAGTCGTGGTTGTGCACAATTCTGCATCTGGGGAAAGCGTTGAAGGTAGGAACTGGTGAAGAAGAATTTAGTTTCCAAAGGGTTTCGTTTTAAATGGAATGAAGGTGTGTTTTTTCTGCAAAACCTAATAAAGTTGCTCAGCGCGCTGCATGAGGTTTACATATGTCGAGAATTCTCCTTAACGTTATTGGGAGCTTTTGTGAGTGCCTTAGCAACGAGTACCTCAGCTCTAACCAATTCTGTTTGAATAATTTACAAGCTGAATAAATTGCCTTTTAGCGTCTTGGTGTTTCCTTTTAAACACATCTTTCCTCATAATTTCACCCTGCATTAGCGAACGGTGTAAACGACGAAGGAGCTACATGCAGTATCACCGACGGTGGCTCATCGGCTTCTTCCAAGCGGACGGGTTGGATTGCGAGTATCTTTGGTTCTTCTAAACCCCTCACGGCAGGTAACTCCGGCCAGGAGTTGGAAGAAACGTCAGAAACAGATGGGGGTGTCAAAAAGAAATCTGAAAAAACGAAAAAAGAAGAACACCTCTCAGTGCCTTCGAAAGGTAAGTAATAAATAAAAATGTGATTAAATAAATCAGTGGAATTAAACACTGGCTCTTCGTTTACCGTTTTCTGGTCAAACTTGAATTTGGAGTCTTTGCCTTTTTTCCAAGGGGGGGGGGGAGGAATGGGGGGGGGGGGTAGTAGGGGTAGTAGTGGGAGGAGACACTGATATCCAGGAACGGGGACGGTACACTTAAACAGCGCAGGGACCCCAAAAACGGTACACTTAAGCAGCGCAGGGATCCAAAACCTCCCTCTTTTTATCGTTCCACGCCATTACTGTGCCCCGTTTACCACGCCATCAACACGAATGCGTTTTCGTTTGAAAATGCATAATTTGTGAAGCGTTTTAACCCGTAAACGCTGATGAGACTTAACGGTTAAAAAGTGAATGCGTCTTCAGAATGCTGTGATTCCTCTGTGGACAAGTGAAAACGGAGGCTTTTTAAAACAACAGAGAAAAAATGCGCCACGCACTGTTGCTTTCGTCCGTGTTTTGGGTGTTGCAATGAGAACGATAGTCGAAAACGCACTAAAGTGTATGCGCTCTCTCGTAATTTCGCCAAGTTTCGATATCTTTTGCCAACACAATCATCTTGTCCTCCTTAACACTTTCAGTTTTGAAGGAACGACTCGACTACACTCTACGGGAGGGATACATGGAAACTAAATACTTGTCTGCGGTCACGTCTCATACATCGTACTGGTATTCATGTGATGTGGCACGGTGCATCCTTGAGAATTGCCTGGATCCAGCACAAAATTTGGACCAGTCTTAAGAACGTGTGAGATGATTGGATAAATTATTACATTAACAACGCAAGTGCCTGGGATCTGCGGTAATTTATTTCGGGTGGTTAACTAGGAAAAAGGGTTTATTATACTATTTCTGAAAAATAGTCCAAGTAACTAGAGACGAGGGAATGTTTTGTCAAATTTTATTTATCATTGGTTAGTTACGCATGTAAAAGTACTTAAGAGGCATTATTTTTATTTACCTGTCAGTGTGACTTGAAAATTTTATAACTCGAGGTGATCTAGAGTTGAGTAGCCCTGCCTTTACTGCAGTTTAACCCTTTAATTCCCATCAGTTACCAAGATAGAATTTCTCCTTACGTGATCAATACAACATCAAGCAGACAGGTAATGAGAACAAAGAGACATATCAATTAGGGGATTACTACTCAATCTAATACCAAAATCTCCCAACTAATATGAGAATTGTTTGGCAGACAGTTAGGAGAATTACTAATAAGATCTTGGGAGTGAAAGGGTTTTAAAAAAAGCTGGAATAGGTGCTCTAGGAATATTATTTTGCGAAAATTATGTCATAGGCTCACATAAAACTTCTCCCGGGAAAATGGCATTACGATAATGCAGTATGGGAGAAGTGAAGAATGTTTTGAGATATTTTTTATGATAAATTGTAGGACAACGGCGCGCGCACAAGCCTGAGAACGCCGTTGTGTTATAAACACGGAGTAAAAACGTGTAAACTACGTCGCGAAAGATTCGTGCGTTTGTCGCGGTCTCATTCCACAATTTTTTCCCCCTAATTTTGCCATGGACAATACAAACTTTTCGGGATGTAAAAGACTGATTGAAGAGCCAACATCAACTAGTTTGTATGATTACATGCAACTTCTTGCAGCAGATGAGAGCCGACAAAATTATCACTTGGATGAAACTCCAAATTCTCCTAACTAATTCACAAGAAATATTGAGCTGCTGGTAGTGACAGTCGCCAATCAGATCTGGAAGATTAAGAATTTTAAGGTAATTAATTTCGCGCTCCTGTTCTGGAACGTAAGTCTGAGATTTGTGGGATTAATGTTAGCAGCCCTCATGCGCAAGATTTGATAGAAATTGCCTATAGCAGATTCAGTTGCGATTAAGAAGGATTTTCCCTTCACTAGGTATTAAAACTATTTTGAATACATTCTAAATCTTAGATTTTAAAATCTTTAAAACAAATAAATAGTTTATCTTGTTATTTCGTGTAAATATGCGACAAGCATTTTGTGTACTAATGTAAAAAACTGGCTAGTATTTTAACGCATTGTGTTGCACTGAAAAATGTCAAGAATGGTTCAATAAATATATGGTACAATTGTACACTATGTTCTTTTGCATATTTAAATTGAATCTCCTGTAGCGAACCTTCTCGTTCCTAAGTCGATTTTCCACTTGTGCGGAAATATGGAGACCTGGCTCGAGATTTGCTAAGGAAGATGACGTTATGGTTTGACATTGTTAGGAGTCGAGGCTCGCTTGATACCAGTCCACACCCGCTGTTTCTTGTAGGTTACGTCAGCAATTTGGCGTCGCCCGTTGGTTACGATGTCTTGAACAATGCATAACCATAAAGTGTACTGATTTGTGCTTTGATGAAGTCTTTAAAGCGTTTTTTGTGGCGCCATTTTTCTTCAGCGCTAAATACATCAGCCTTTTCGTTTTTCTGTAAGTTCTTTCAGACCAAAATACAAAAAAGTCATTGGGAAGGAGTTCCTGGACGAACATTGTATCCAATTTGTGACTTTTCTGATGATGGAAAGTAACAACGTCAGCGTTTACATTGGAAAATTTAATTCTAATGTCTGCGTATACCCCTTGGGCAGTTGAGTCGTTGATTCGCTGGACTCAGAAGGAGGTCTGGGCCCAAGACCTAACCGCGACATTATACTGTGTCCTTGGCAAAGACATTTCATTTTCACTTACAAGGAGACAAACGGCTGCGGAAACAGCCTCGTGACCAGGGCCTTTCCGCCCTCTCCAACTTTTCAAGGGAAAAGCCTCGGAAACGAGGTTACGCTTCGACAATAAAAAATAATTTATGCCCTTACCGTGGTAGTATAAACTTTTCCAGCTTTATTGATAGCCACATACAATCCTGATTCTACATGCTTTATTCTTATTAGGCTAGTTCCACAAGACTGAAGCTCAAACAGACCTGAAACAATAAAAAATGGGGTACATTAGCTGCCGGAGAGCGATCAGGAGATCTGGAATTTTAGCAGGTAAAATTATATTTCTAACATAGTGCGCGCGTCTCTCCTATTCTTTCATATCCAACCATCATATCTCTAAAAACGCACGGCCGTTCAAGAATCGAAGAAGCTAGAAGAAGTACTTCGAGCAACTCTTGCGCTTCTTGCCTACTTCCCAAACTTCTCGCGTGCACCCTTACCTCGAGATAAGCACGCTAAGCTTGGACTAGCCTGTTCATAATCTCATACCCAGTTCCCACCGTATAACTGTAACTGAAATGTACAACCACTTGGCCGTGGAAGGTCAAGGTACAAGATTTGCCTGCTCTAGGTGTTCAGTTATATTAGATGAAAAGTATAAAACAGAGTGATGGTAAAAGCAGAGCGAAAACTAGGGAAGTTCACTACCCAACCCGACCTAAGCCCTCCTTGCTGTTACTCTCCACGGCCGTTTCCTATCGCGCTTGATTTTACTAACTGAACGCCTGGTACAAACTAAGCATGGAACAATTCTTAACCAACACAAATATCGAAAATTTTGACTCACGCGATCAGAGATCATGTTTGTTTACTAAAAACCAAAATAGGATTATATTTGATGGGGCTCATTTCCCCCGGGGGTGGTTTTCATCTCCAATATGTGAATAATTATTTTGTCATTTTACGCCAACAATGATTATCGTGACTTTGCCTGAAAACCAAAATAGTATACTCTGTAAAGGTGGTCATCTTTCCCAGGGGGGTTTTTCCCTTCTCTTATAAACAATTATGTTAACGTTTCACACCGACATTAATTATCGTGACGTCACTTGAAAACCATTCACAGCTGTTAATCCCTCAAGGACCAATTTAGTCTGTTGATATTTATACAATAACAATCAAGAACATGAATATGTATTTACTTCGCAACAGTCATGCATTCCTTGGTAAAAATTCTCTGACAGCGTGAACGTCGTGAAGTGAAGCTGTTTTTAAGATGTCTATAGTCGTATTTGTACTTACATCTGTTTGTCAGCTGACAATAAGTGTCATTCACCCCTTGCAGTGTTCCATTTGACAAAACCGCCAGATGAAATCTCAGTTTACTCCAGAGTCGAGCTAGTCTCTTGTGAGTGGGAGCTGCATTTCCGTCGCAGCTTCCTCTTGGATTGAAATACGTTGGTACTTTGTATCTCCTCGGTTGCAAGCCGCTTCCACGCAGTTTTATTCTTGAACTTACGCATGATAGTCTTGTTGTTATAACAAACACGGTAATAGATAGAAATAGCTGGCGACCAAACAACATATTAAAGTTAGAAATGACCCTAATGGAGACTTAACTGTTAATACAAACAGTCTCTCAGGTCCATCAATTTATATATCACAGTATTGGACTGGGAAAATTTTCTGCGATCGTGGTAATATCTTAAAATTGTCACAGTTGCATAACATAGGTCACGGTTAGTACAGCGTGTGAATTTTTAGACCAACATTCACTTTATATATTTTCTTTATTTGCAATCCGCTGTGATGTGCCTCCTCTCTGGTTCTATATTTCTTTGTTTTGGCCTTTTTGATGTGTTTTTGTATACCCTAACAACCGTTTCCTTCGGGGTTCTACTTTACATCAAGTCAATTCACTATGACGCAGAGCTAGTCCGAAAATATCGTGAAGTAATTTAGGCTGGCGTCACGTGGAATGTTCGCTGCCTGTCTTTGGATTGCATTTAAAAAATAAAGCAACTTTACGCATTCGCTTAAGAATGTAATTTTATATTGTGATTTTTTATCTTTTTGTTTGCAGATCTCTAAGTTTCCTAGAAAAGAAAACGAAATCAGTGACAATTTTTTTTCTCTCTTGGGTATTTCGTTAAAATCTAAAATATTAGCACACGTAATTTGTCATCCCTAATAGGAACGCGAAAAAAGAGTCGACGTCAGATTTCTAATTTTACCACAATTAAACGACAATAGCATTGTGTAGTACCTATATTTTAACCATTTAACCAAGATTTCAGCGCACCATTAGCGTCATACTATGATCTTCACGTGCTCAGCTGTCAAACTAATTTGCACGTGCGAACTTAGTACCCTTAAAGCCACCGCGTGATTTTAAATTTCCCTAAGAGATAGCACTTCAATTGACTGATCACGGAAAAAATGAAGCTAGACAAATAAAAGATGAAAAAAAAAAAAACGCCTAAGTCGGGTACAAAGGTAATAACTACGAATCCAAAGTTCTAACCACGGATCAAAAGTTATAATTACGGGTCCAAAGTTATTGCTACAAAATCCAAAGTTATTAATAAATACAATCATGGGATCCGCCGTCATTCCTTTGAATGCGTCTGAGAGGCTCTTAATGAGGTTAACCATTAGCCGTAAACCGTCAAAAACAGTTTAGCCGTAAGGAGGCGTAAAAATTGACAAATATGTAATATTATTCTTTTAAAAAAAAAGTTCACCTTGAAAGGTAAAATTTTTTCTTTTAACCGCAATGGAAAAAAAATTAACGGTCAAAATTTTAATCGTTGGCGGTAAATGTCATCACCCTCTTCCAGACTACCGTAGAAATTAACAAATTTTTACGTCAATATCCACTTTTTTCATTAGTTTAGAGTGCCACTTAGAAGTCACAGTAAGCGACATTGTTGAAGTCAGAATCGGCCAATATCTTATCATTCGCAAGAAAAGATGAAACAAAAACTATTATTATTATTTTGCAATCAGTAGCTGCTATACTACACAACTACAAACTGTTTTTTCGACGTGGCTTCAGTGTGACTCAACTTAAAGGTTTTGAAGAAGAAAAATTTACGCAAACAAGTTTTCAGTTGAGATTATTAAGTATCAGTTAAGTTCTTGCGATATTGCGGCGTTTGAAATCACATTTTTGTAGCAGTATTCGAAAGCAGTGTTCTTTGCAAAAGTAGTTTCAAGCTTACCAAATATACAAAAGAAATGATTTGGCAATTTTAGGGTTTAGTGAAAGATTTCGCTTCTTTAAAAAATGCCAACTCTCATTATTGATTAATTCAAATAGAAATTTAAAACAAAATTGAGATATTTCACAGATTCTTCACCGAAAGATTTGGTGTCTTACTTAACACGAGTCTGGACTAAGACGAAACTAGCATGATTTTAGGTTAATCTGCGAATATTTGTTTTCATGGTACACGTGGCGTGTTATTTGAAACAAACTTAAATACGACCGTTAGCATGTCAGTGTAGTTGTTGCATCTAATATACCAGCGAAATATAGATTGTTACAATAATACTGGATTTGTTTTACTCATACTGCTTCCCCTTAAGTTTTTGACCTTCGTCTGCAAAAAGCAATGTTTAGCCTTTTCTAATATTATACTTATGTTGCAATTTTCGATCTTCAAAGCGAAGACATTTTTTTCAACAGACAGTAATTATAAGTTAATTGAACTATTAACTAAGCGCACTTCAACAAAACAGTCTCAGTAAACTTGAATATCGCGTCAAAAATTATTTTTACAAACACTTACCATTCTAAACTCCATTTGACTGAGAGAGCTCTTCTCGCTTTTGCTTGTTCACCTTTAAGCTTGTCCAGAAAAACTGCAGTTTTCCTGTCGCCCCCAGACTGATATAAAGCCTTCCATTACCTCACAGGGCGTGTTACCTCACTTTTGTTTTGACGCTGTATGAAATAAAAGAAAACATTTCAGAAATTTCGTTTCTATATTATGCATAATTCGGATCCTTTCTGCGTAGAAGCTTTATTTAAACGTGTTTTTGCGGTGTCGTGTTTTTTAAAAACCGTTAAGAACACTCGAATATTTCTTTTTGCCGCAAATCGACTGTGCTTTTGTGCGTTTAAAGGCGAGCCGTGTCTGAGAGATAAAAGGCTTTTTGTTTATGTTCGACTTGAAATTTCATGGTCTACAGAGCACACTGACTAAAATGGTTAGAACAATGTTTACTTCCAAATACCGCGCTGTTTACTTCTAACTATGCCGCAAATACTGCCGGTAGTAAAATGTACTTTAGTGATTTCTAGAAATGATTCTGTGCATATTGCTTAATAATCTCGCTGCTAAAACCGCATATTGGGCTTCGATACATAACCGAAAAGTAAGCAAGTACGTTGGATAATTAATTACGGCCATTATTCCTCCATTATCGTTTATCGTCAATAGATAAATAAACACCTAACTTTGACTCACTTCCTCTGACAATTTAAGAGCATTCTTCTAACATTACCAAATTTCTTCGGTGCACTCAGCGGAATGATATTTCCTGTATACCTGAGTTCGTTCAAATGCTTCGTAAAAGACAACTGCTAAAACATTACATGACAGATCGATTAGTAGCGTTCAATTTAAGTGCGTTGCCGGCAAGCTTTTGAATGACCGCATATTGCGTTTCGCCTGCGCATTTCCAACAGAGAAAATGTTCTACAAGTGATACAAACGCGTCAATAAATGTCAGCCGGAAGAGTTTGATAACAATATAACACTATTGCGGTCAATAAATTAATGGTCTTCGTCTTCATTGTTGATATTAGCGGATTATACAGTACTTTTCCTTCTGAAAACGCCGACTGTTTGAAGTTCTTGAATAGCTTGCCGTCTTTTTATGGAACTAAAACTCCATGATCGGTTTTGGCAAAGTGGTAACTTCGCGGTCTTTGCTATTGTACAAGTGTCTCTATTGTCGGTCTTTCCTAAAAGCGGAGTGTCTTTGAGCATTTTAATAACGATATTGTACACCCATATTTCCTTCAACAAATACCATGAAATGTCAAAGCAAACAAAATTGTACAAAGTAAATCTTTTAAAGTCCAGGAATCTCGACAAGTATGTTTTCAGACGGATACCAAATTTGTGGAAACAATATGAAAATAAATTAAAGCCAATTTATTACAATTACACTGAATTGCTGGTCTTTCTATCACAGAAAACAAAACGACAAAGATCTATATTAACACAACGTAATATGACCTAGGATCACTAGATGTTCAATGCTTTGTACTTAATTGCTTGTTGAGTTTTAGGAAAAAGGCATTTTACAATTCTATAGCCGTTCTCTCAAGAATACCTAAGATTATGAGAGGGAAACTTGGTTTCGAAACTTTCTCATCAAATTTTAAGTGGTACTTAACTAATGGGCCAAGAAAGATAACTTTCGGTAAAAGACGTATTTGGAGAGCCGGAAATTCTCTTTCAAACCTAATCCACTTCAAAATACTTTGTTATTTATAAAACCGCGGTGTCTGAATCAAAATTGTGTTACAATATACGGGCTTGTACATTTTTGGTTTGCACGTAAGCACGAAAGATGAAATCTGGAACAGCAGGAGTTTATTTAAGAAACTAACTTTGCAGAACTTATGTCTTGATTAAAGGTTCTTGCAAAGTTGCCGATCAGAAGTTAGCTATGCATGCGTGACTCGTCAATCTTTCCAAAGAGATTGCGTGACACTTGGCAAATATATCTCTTTTAGACATTTGCGCTGCAGACTTAAATGCCCACAAAAATGCTTCTTCGCGCAGAAATAAACGAGTACTACAGTTTTGCTTGCCTGATAGCATTTTTTCAAGACTGAGAAGGAAATAGTTTTGTAATGACTTGGCGACCTCGGCAAGTTTGTGGCTTGCCGTCTGATCCGAAAACCTTGTGCCCGGAAACAGCAAACCTCAGTGTAAAATTCACCAGCACTCGTATCTAAAGTAAAATTATCGTCAAAGAAAGTTTTTTCATAAAAACATTTTCGGGCTAAACGAAAATTCCTCTAATGACTACATAAAGCCATCCTGGGTGGTCCGATCTTGTAAAATCAATATTTGATATTTGATCAAAATTTTTGTTTTTCAGAGTAGTATCTCAGATCAATAGATCCAGAAGTTTCCACGTATCTTTTGTTCATTTCATCTTGACCTTTATTCTGGTATTAAATTGGGCACAAGTTTCTCGTTATATCGAATTATTTTGTGATTTTTTTTCATTTTTAAATTTGTAAAAAGAATTTTCGCGAGTCAATCTAGGGCTTTGGTGTGAAAACATGGCTAACGCAGTGTTTATTACTGCCATTATAGAAATGTGTTTTAAGTAATTGTATAAATGAACAATTAGATGAAAATAGAACAATTGAAGTAGAAAAACTGATAGATACACAAATCGCTAATTAGTGTAGTCTTTCAGAAAATAAACTTGCAAACAATTGAATGGTCTCTATAAAACTTTGTACTGCAGAGATAAATACCATAACACGCGATCCTAAGATTCTACCCTTACACTGCTACAAAACTGTAGGAATTTTATAAGATGAAATAGGAAACATAACTGATTGTATCAATTTTCGTCTGATGAATGTTAATAAATATCGCGGCGGTAAGCGACGATTCTTTTACCTTTGGAAAACTAGATTTTTAGAACTTATTAAAAATACAGAACGACGCGAAAGATTTTGAGAAGTTTTCCCCAAACCATGATTTTTGGCACGGCTGAGTTTCTTCGCTCTGTTTTTTTTTCTATTTCGTTGTCTGTTTTTTTCCTCTCGCTGACAGCACTGAACGGTGATGATTTACAATTGATTTCTGAGCTAAGACTCGTTTCGTCAAATATTTTATACCACACAATATAAAAACATTTGTCAAACAGAGTTTGGTATTTTTACATGGATGAACTGAGAGAAGATAAATTACTTTTGACCTTCGTTTTGTTACGCTTCGAATCAGCAGTTGTCTTGCTCACTTTTTTTTTTTTGATCTGTCAAACGACAGCTCAAGAAAGAGGAAAAGCGACAAATTCTGTCTGTCGAGTGCCATATGAATCGTGCATTGGAAAAAGTTTCATAGGCTCTCTGATGAAACGTTGAGGAAACCATTTCCTGTTCTTATGGTCCGTGATGAGGAATAATCCCACTTCTGTACTGAACACCAAAAATAGCACGTATTCCAGCTAACACACACACGAACATCGAAACTTTCATAATTAGGTAAAGATTCGCACGATAGCCATAGTAGTTTACAAAAAGCTTCATCAACATACCTTAGTTTCAACGAATTTGAACATCAGTCTTCAATCACCATTTAATGGAAAGTAAAGGAATGTCAAAACACTCAATTTATTTTTACATCCCTGATCTGTAAATATGCCAGGCATATGTTCAATTTCTATCAATAGCTCATTAGTTTACGAGTGACAATGACGATATTTCCTCCAGGATCCTGTAACGCGCGTATGATAAATAACCACAAGATATAAAATATATGTAAATTCAGTGATATGTGACTTATCCCATGGCTAAGCGTGCACTGTGTCACCATAAAGACCCAAGTTGACAGATTCTTCGTGAACTTTGTACAGTTTATGAATCTAAGAAGCACCGCAGCCGATTTTCCTGTTACCTGTTGTGGAAATCCTCTCAGAAAGAAATTAAAATTAAGTGTTTCTGTCGACTAAATCTGGGACTGGTTACAGATGTCATGATCAGCAGAAACCAGATTAAGACTTCAATTTTATATTTGAAATCAAATATCACATGCCACAGCTACAGTCTTCAAGAGTTTTCCAGCTTTTTTTAATCGTAATTGAACAACAGACAAAAAAAGATTCAGGAATTTCCTTTTACTGATTAAGAAAAGGAAAACATTTCAAATCTACTTAACTTTCGAAGAATTCAAGGCTGTGACACTATAGACAGTATGCAATTGTCCTCGATATTTTCCACGCCCATTTTGTTTGAAGCATATCGTTCAATCGCGGAACAAGATTTTGCAAGTTGTAAAAAAAACAACTGTCGGCAAACTGTAAGTACATTAAAGCACAACGTTCTTTTGTCAGATTCTGAGAAACCATTCCTAATATGTAAATGAAAAGATAACATAGTTTTCACCTACTTGCTATGACTTGGAGATTCTTTTCAGTCTCAAACGCAATTAACCTTTATAGAATATGAGGAGAATCAAATCCCTCGAAGGTTTTTTCTCTCTTTTGCCATTATGATAAACGCCCGCTTTTAGCTTGATTGTTCAAATGGTCGATTCCGAGAGCAACTGAAAGTTACATTTTGACACAGGCTTGGCCAACATGCAATTTGCATGCAGCGTCTTGTCGTGCGGCCAATCTGGAATGCTGAAGATATGCAATTAGCTCAGCATTTGCATTTATGAGGTCAATATCTCTTGCTGGTTAATGCATGCTTCCGCCGATGCAATAATGCAAATGCAGGGTATAACCATGTTACATCGCTCAGCGTCCACACTTATGACTCACAGAGACGGTTTTCTTTTGTATTAAAACCTGATACGTTCACCTTGTGATTGTTATTGTTTGTCTGTATTTTTACATACGGTAGATCTTATTTAGCTGGGTGAATGCCAAACTCTGTGTAATAAATTTAGATTTTTGATTCAAAGTTTTCGAGCACATCGCAAAACCTTATGAGATAAAACTTCTGCCTGAGATATGCCAGTACATTTCGCTGTAACCCGTGTAATTTATTAAACATCCAAAAGAACTAAGTTAACCTTTGGATTTAATCAAATAACGTCATTACTGCTTGCACAACATTAAAACAGATCGTTCCTGATGATCCAAGCCAATTAAAGCTTATTCATCAAAATTTCAATGTACTGCAAAGAGATCCGCTGATCTTAAAATCGCGCAATGAGTTGGAACAGAACTGTTCTTCATCATTCAATGAAAGGCAGTTCCGTTTAAACTTTGCACGCTTACGTTTTACGAGCATTGCTTTCTTAATGAATAGGCACAGCATTCAAAAGATTTCTATGTATTCTTCTTCATTTTCAACACAATGTTGCAATTTTTGTACTTACATCATACCACTAACCTTGGTAAACTACATTTCTCTGAGTTTCCACGCTGTATTCGTTGATATTGAAAAAACACTCCAGGATTCCTTTGAAACTAAATGCTTCACAAGAAGCCCTTAACTGTCAAAGACATAAAAAATGACCCTAATTCCTAGGGGTTGTTGGCGTTTCGGGAAGAGAAGTGTTGAAAGTAGATTGATTGTCTGACAACTGCAATGACCTAATTGGTTATACTGTTGGATTTCATAAAACTGTCACAAATATTATTCAATTAGTATTAAGAGTATTGTTGGTGGAGACAATTGGAGAATTCTAGCTTCGATCAGATCATATTTTTTCAATCTGGACCTTTTAAAAAGACTCAACAGTGAACATTCAACATTGTAAGTTTAAACTCGACTGAGTTTTCTTGTCTTAGGACGTCGTGTGAGATGTCAGAATCCTGCTGACAATAGAGTAAGGGGATCCGCAAATCTCCCAGAAGAGTAGCGCAAAAAATCTGTCTAGGAAACAAAATGTCCAACTGAGTGTTTAATTTTGATCAGTGTGGTGGCTAATTTAGACCTGAGATTCTCAAAACAAGCCAAAATCTTGCGGTATGTTGCCCGTAATCTGATTTTGGTCAGTCTAATTGATTGTTTCTGGCGAGACTTAAATCAAAACGCATAAATCACTTGATCCAAGTTGTTATCAGATTGCGTCCGGGTTGTACGATAATAAAGCTTTAGTTACTTAATCGCTCTATGAGTGAAAACATATTTGATTCACTAAATTAATTATATTCAAGTTATAGTCACGAGAAAAAGGAATCTTCTTCCTCTCATAGCACAGTTGTTAACTTTTTAAATCAATCTTGGATGATAGCGTGATCTTCTCTCTGATGTCGCGTGAGAATTTATCCTTGTGTTTCGGGTATTTTTGCGATTCCCCTCGGCAATAAAAGTGACATGGCTTACTAATTAAGCTTACCCTAGTTAACTTCTTTTGTATGCAGTGCTCTGTTAATTAAATCAATGTCGTCTATTACACCGAAGGAGATCTCAGATAGCGCGTATTCATTTTGAATGGCGGAGACTCAAACTGTTACAAAATGATGGTGAAGTTATCTTTTCCATCGAAGAAGATTTTATGGTATGAAGAACAGAGCGCTGTTAATCAGGTAAACTATCGATTTATCTCTACATTAGGAATAACTGATTTTTAGAAGTACGTCTTGTCTTTTCACCTTAAAATGCGTGATTAAAGATAATATCTCGGGATGTATTTGAGCAGAGTAGCAAGGCAAGTATTCGTTGGATTCTTGTTCCAAATTACAACATCCGTTTCACATCCGTTTCCGAATGAGCGGGAAATATTCAGTTCCTCATTTGAAGGAAAATTTATGACTTGACACGTCGCTGTATTACACTTAGTTTTTATGAAAGTATCTCTTACTTATATTGTTTGATTCATCTGTTGCCTATAATCAGAAAAATTCTAACCGCTTGCGTTGCGGTTTGAAATATATTAACACAAGATCAAGTTTTATGGAGACAGATTGAAGCTAATCGTGTTTTTCGCCAAAGGCTCGTACATGTTTTAAATTTGTCAAAGAAAAGCAATTTCCTCTGTGGCAATCACATTAAGATGCCGCAAGTCCATCGATCACAAAATACTATGTTATGACTAAATTGATCCATTACTTCAATGTACAGGTAAAACTTACTAAAAGCCTCTGAAACAGCCGTTATGTTGCAAACTGGGCGTCGTTTACCTTAAGGGAAATGTGTTGATTTTGCCGCACTCGTTTTCCACCTTCATCATTGGATAGCGCCAGAATTGTGCTCTTGTTCAGCGAGTTTGGCAAAAAGTCTGTTTACTGTGAGACCTCCAAGAGATACATCAGAGACACAGCTGAACTAACTGATTTCCACGCAGTGTGAGTTTCCTTTACATCAGACATCGACTGACCTCCTGAACTACAGCATTGGTACAATTGTAAATTATTGGAGAACCACACACAGGGATCAAACATAAGTATGCTCGAAATTTTGATAATCGAGGGAATTAAACTTGAAGGATTACGTAAAATTATAGAATTCAAACGACAAAGACAGGTGTGTTTCTAAGACAGGTGTCTCAGTTGTGACGTGCTAGTGGTAGGTCTCGTGCGAAGATTGGGGAGAGAGTACAAGGAAACTCGAGGGGGTGAGTGAAGGACCCCTCATACAGCCCCTCTGTAATCTACTCAGGAATATCGCTTCAGCAGGAAGCAGCCAGTTGCACAAATGGTCATGTGTATCGAATGTAATAAGAATTATTATATTCTGTCATAGAAGATTCGGAATGGAAAGGACTTCTGTAGAAGTAAGGAGAGGAATCGGCGGATTGAAACTGTTACGTTGCAGGTAATTTAAGATCTTCAAAAAAAACCTTGTACCGTTCAAATAAGCGCTCTGCTAAAGTTCAGTATCCCTCTGTGATGCGTAACCTGACGTAAGTGATAAAAAAAAATAGAAAATACATCTTACCTTAAACGCTTACTGCAGGCAGAAGACCTTAACCCGATCCGAAAATTGTTGCTCTGATCTGTCAAAAATGTCCTCAGATAAAACTTGTCGTGTTCCATTTGCCTTATTAATGCATGTATCTGTTAACAAGAACTGCCAAGACTGGCAAACTTAAGTAGACTTTTAGAGGAATGCCTATCATCTTCGAGATGTCAGAACATAAATTTGGTCCGACCACTAAACTGCTTTACCAACGTGAGTCGCCATACAGGAACTTAAAAGACTTTGATTCAAAATTTCTAACTTCCTTTCCCTGCAAAAACGTATTTCCTAAAGCTGCAATATGTCAAATAAAACCGTCAAAGGCCTCTTTCAAGAGTCCACTCAAATTAAGGCATCGTCAAATTCGAAGAGTACCCATTATCGAGTTACAAAATAAACAGACGGAATTTCCGATGAAAGGAATTAAACGTTTGTAAAACCACGATTACGAAAACAAACTAGGGCACATACCCTAATGTTTACCAAAATAAAGGGTCTTTTTGCGAAAGTAATAAGCTGGCCGAAAAATTAATTTTTTCAGGCTCGATGATTGCGCCATTTAACGAAATTAAACTTAAGATTCTTTTCCTTATCAAGATAACCGTAGGTGCCTGCCTTGACCTCGTGTCCTTATCCAGTTGAATAAATCTTTTCTTGATTGTGCGACATAAGTGAGTGCACGAATTGCCTTAAGAACAAGCAAGCAAAAAGTCACACACGTTTTGTTTAATTCACTCAAAAGCCAGAAAATCATAACTAGTTTCCAAATAAAGAACACCGGGTCAACTGTCCATTTAAAGCTACAGTATTAATCATGTACATTCCAATTCATGTGTCAAATTTTCATCCAAATAATCGACGGATTCTACAAATATCTGGACTTAAAGGAAGACTGAGATACTCTCGCAGGACAAGTTTTGGTGAAAAGTGTACGACTGCAAACAAATATAGACGCTATTATAATTATATATGGAGCTGCTGGATTTTTTATTTCTAAATCTTTGGTCTGCCGACAGGAAAGGCTATTTAAGACCATTTCCGCTCAATTTCTTGCCGCCAGGTCACGAAATGGAAGAGAAGACATGTTAAATCTAAAAAAAGTGGATCATTTTGGAACATTGTAATTCTAGAGTTTAAACTGGCCTCAACGACATCAGTGCCACAACCATTTTATTGAACCAGAATCCTCTTGTGTATTATCCTTCGGCTGTTTTCAACAAGATTATTAGCTTCTCGGTGTCATATTTTTAAAATGTATGACACGGACGTTAATCTGTAGGCCGAGTGATCATCCGAGTCTTTCGTCAGTGAGGTTAGAAATAACTTAAAAGAGCTCAGTTTTATCACGAATTTGGAGTGTATAATCGAAGAAGTCAATTGGGATTTTTTTTCTCACTTTAGATTTTTCATCATGACTTTTACTTTAATCAGGAGCCCATTATGTAATGGGCTCCTGCTGTAATTTAGTTATTTCGAGTTATCGGATATTTGTAGTTTCCTGGTGAACAGCAGAGGACGAAATTAATTCTGAATCAATTCCTGTTTGGTAACGTATAAAGAATTTGTCCAGTGTTAATTATAATGTATGACTTAACTTCGAAAATGCTTTTTAAAGATCAGCCTGTATATAGCCAATACTTACGGAATCCTTTCTCAAGTCTGGTTCTTGATGCAAGATGCCTGTTTAGCCTAGGTTGAAGTCAAGGGAAATGCATGAAATTGCGCTGATATATCAAACTAAATAGACTGACCTTATGCCGTGAACTTCAAGTTTACAATAAGTGTTTTTGAATAAAACCTCTCCTCTTATGGCAACCTCCGTCCCAACCCTCCTCACGAAGACCTGGAACCGAACAGGCCCCTCCCTTAGTCCTTAGGGCTTAATGACGCGTTTAACCGCCTTCATGGATAGTGCCAACATGACAAAAATGATGGCAACTCTGCTTTTTGCAAACAATGAAGACCCATTCGGCATCCGGATTGGACGGAAACACGTGTGGTAAAAGTATCCCGCAGTAGAGGAGAAAACAAAACAAAAAATCAGAACATAGGTGAAAACGGTCCAGGTGCCTTGGTTTCCCCCTGCCCCTCCTACGAAGATTTTCGGACCCAGGCCGTGTCAGACTTCCGCAAAGTGACAATTGTAGCCCGCTAAGCAATAGGACAAGTAAACCGCAATTACTATTTGTTTTTATTTCCAACCGAGCTAGCAATTAAGATTTCGCAATATTAACAATTAGCAAACTTTAAAGCGGCAATTTCAGTCAATAACTATTTTTAAACCACTCGGACAGAGCCAGTGTTAACTTACAGTAAAATTCCACCGATCTCACCTTGCGCAATTTAACTGGGATAAATTTAAATTAAATAATGTTGCATTCCAACTGAATGCATATGTATAACAACAGCAACGAAAGTGTACACGTTGTTTCATTGAATTAAAAGGAAGATAAAGCAGAGACGTGTTTCAAATGCAGTCTGCAATCAGAGGATCTCTCTTCTTTTTACAATGCAGCGTTGAGAAAAAATGCCTAGACGATGGCTGAATGCCAAGGCGCATCAGAAACAGTCGCATTTTACTTCCGGTCGCCGTTCTGGTGTCAAAAACGTCTGTGCAAAATACTTTGTCTCATATAAACCAACGATTATTGTCGAGACGATTCTACACGACCAAGTTTTTCAAGAAGTTTCTCTGAATACAGTTCCGTTTCTTCTTTGTTTGTGCTCATTGAAAAAGCTAGTTAAGGTTTGTTAACAGTCAATTGCCCTCGGGACCGAAAGGTGACGTCCTAAGAGGAATTGTTGAGAAAAAAGTGTCTCTTATGACCGATCCAAATGTGAGAAATCTCTCAAATTCCGTCGATCAGACCTTAATTACAACAACTGCATGACATTCCCTGGTTACGTCGCGTTTTACATGAGCGATAAGTCAAAGAAAACTTAGTCGTGTAAAAATGACTCATGACAAAATAATTTATCAGAAACTTTAAAAGATGTCTTAAATATTTTCACCTAGATACAGAAATAACATCGCGAGAAAATTAAATCTCGCGTGGAACCTGGAAACAAACGGGGATAAATTCTTTCATCTCCAGCTCCCACGCGATCTTCTATTTCTTTCCCAGGCCTCCTCTAGTTACTCAGAAAGCTCAAATGTGAGTTATTTACAAAGTTGAAAGCGATATAATATGTTCTTCTGTTAGCAAGTTCATGTGGCGTATCGTCGGGTCCATTCCCTCGCCGTTCTGTCGTGTTCCTCGCGGTTAGAAATGTATTGAGCCGCTATGTTTCCCACTAATGGATCCGCTGAAAACATAATAGTTAGAAAAAAAGAGAAGGTAATGAGATAAAGAAAAATATTTTTCGTCTTGGCGCGTGAGAAGAACAAAGAAAGAGTTCTGTGTCCCTAGAAAGAATTGAGCCAGAAACCTTCAATCTCCGCGCTCAAACACTGTGTCCATATCATCGCATTTTCATCAAATCGTTATGTCCCCGCGTTCACACCAAAAACAAAACCGCCTTGTTCTTGTTCAGGACAATTTATGTGACAGCTCTTAAAATAATTGCATCCTTTGGGCCAGTGGACCATTTCTTGTACATAGTAGAATGGAAGCATTTGATGCTTGTAGAAACATTTACCGGTAATCAAATATTAAATGATACTTTTATTATTTCAACCAAGGATTAATTCTGAAGTTTTTCTGATGCCAAGTTTTTTATTTTTTTGACTCCATGGTTTTTAACAAGGTCTAAATTCAGATGTGTTGTATGACCTTCCTACGCCGTTTTTCTCATGTCATGTCGTTATGTCGTAATTTCACTTGACACTTGACATAGCCAACAAAGAACGACCAAATTCTACCAACGTTACCCAAGTCTTGCAGCCAATATGAACAAGACAAAATGGGCCAATTAGTTATTTAGCTCCTTAACATTTCCTTCAGACTAAAACAGTTGAGAGAATTTTGTGTTGCATCACCTGATCCAGGTATTCAGTTTGTAAAACGGTGCGCGTTAGTTCAGGGCGCGACAGCATTGGCGGAGCGAAAAAAGGAGAGGATTAGGTCGGGTCAGGTCGGGTAATGAACGCGACCCGACCCAAGCTTCCCTCGGCCGCTTATATAGCCCCGTTTATTTTCGTCTTCCGTTTTACTATTTGAACAACTGGAAGAGGTTGTGTGTTATATCAATATGACATCCTCTGGATGATAACTGTCTACATTCTTATCACAAGTTTGATGGATAATGTGTAAATACTGTTGGGCGATTTGACATGTTAAACATTCAAGGAATTTAAAAGCTGAAATACCTGGATTGCAATCTGTCAGAAGTGAACAGACGGAGAGAAGAACTTTGGAAATAGTCAGAGCTGGGCTCCAGTTATCTTTTAAAATATCCAGACAAATCACTCCCTAGAACACAAACAAATTATCGTGTTAACCCTTTACACTCTATACTAGCATCAGCATGAATATTCTCCATACAATTCTCTATACATTTAATAGGGTGCTGATAAGGAGAATTTGTTTAACAATCAAGGGGTTCTTCAGTTGGTGATCATTTGCTTTATTCTCGTGACCTTAATGCGTGATTCAAGGGTGACATTGTAAGGAGAAATTAGATACTGGTCACTCTTAGGAGTTAAAGAGTTCAACTGAAGTCAATAACCCAGAGACCATAAAAGAATTAACTACAAAATGAGACAGGTAAAAATAAAAAAACAAACAATAGTTGCGCTGTTCTGAGTCACAACGGATGGTAATTTTTTCGTTGAAATTTGACCTTGGTTCACACACAGGAAAGAAAATAACTCAGATTTAATGGAAGTACTCATCCATCAGCGGACGAGTTCGAGATTTCTATCGCATAGAAATTGAGAGCAAAAAAAATCTAAAAGTTTCAAGAAAAGAGTTCTGCAAACCCGAGACGCAGGCTAAGGTCTCGAGAATTCTCCAACCCTTGATTGTTCAGATGAGGCTATTGTAAACACAGAAGAAAATGCTCTTTCGCCCACGTAAAATACATCTAAAAATTGCTCGCCAAACTTAAATGCCCCAGGCTTGTTTGCAAACACTCTTCACACATATGGACCAATGAGAGAGTGCATTATGTCTGATCTTTTTATAAATCCAGATGTAGCCACTACCCGGCTTTATTTACAAGAGTCACCGTTAATGTCCTCATCAGACCTTACCACAATATCTTCGATACTAGAATGATGGCGCTCGCTAATAAATTAGTTCTTAGTTTCGTCCTTTCTTAACCTAAACAGATGTCGTTGTCATGTCAACTCAACGTTGAATCATAACTTTGCCGGACATTTGACGATAAACATACAGACAATAAAAGAAAAACAAAAGCTGTATGTACGTTGTCTCGATTCTGACATCTTCTTTTCAAAGTAAATAACCAAGTCACTTCGGATGGCATTGACGTCAACAGTGTTTGCATATGGCAAATTGATTAGCATAATATCACGTTTTCTCATTCTTTGTTTTTATTTTCTTCTTCAGGAGCGAAAAAAAGGATTTTATTCTCTGTCCTCTGTTACAATGTCTCCTAATGTCTCCTTTTTTGATCAGGAATGGTTGGATATTTCCAATTAAAACCCAGGCATTCGAGAAAAAAACAAATGAAAAACTGTAATACAGGAAAATAAACACGAACCTTTTGACACTCGACAAAGTCTGTTTACCAAGCCTGTGCATATATTTAGCTTGGATGTCCTTATTACAAACTATTGCAATATTTCACTTTCGTATCCTTGGCGAAATATCACCCTCTATCAAACCCTAAAAAAAAAGCTGCTCATAAATTTTTCCCGCCTTTGACTATCCAGCGAAAACTTCACGATAAATTGCCATCATTCTAACAGAATTAAAAAAGCTCAATTTCTCCTTCGTGTTTTCTGTACCGTGACTTTAAAAATCACAATAAATATTATCATATGCCGCATTAAGCAGTTAAAAATGTAAAAACGTTGAACTTAACTGAGACATTACCAGCTTCGTCACCATCAATTTTTAGCAGGAAGTCAGATCACATTCTAGTTTGTATACTAACATAAATTTCCGAGTTTTTCTTTCGAAGGGAGGGCAGTAACAAAGTTCTAGTTCGTTAAGTATAGGTAATAACTTAATTTCGTGCGCAGTTTGGTGTTAATAAGCAAGAGTAAATTTTTCAAAGACAATAACATTGCATGAGTCTGCAGGGCGAGTGCAATTTGTAGTCCTTGAAAAATTTAATAAAGCTTAGAACACCAAATTGCACGAGAAATCATTTTGTTACTTGTTAATAATGTAGATAAAAAAATCACAGAAAGTTAAGACAGACGTAAATTTTGGCAGCGCGCGCGTGCTATTTGTATACACGAGAAGCACTCTTTTCCAGCCAATCAGACGCGTGTAATTTTTTTCAGGTATATTATTACAATTAATAAATTGAACCTATTCAAAAATTCGTTAGCAAGTTGATCCTATTGTCTCTCCAAAAGCAAAAATTCAAATTAAAAAAAAAACCTCACCTGGCTATTGACATTACAATGATAAATTCTTGTTCGGAAAGTGACCTTCGGAGAAAAATTAAAAAGTTTACAATGCATAAGTTATCATGATTTTGACCTATGATAAACTCTGTATAAACTGTAAAACGCTATAAACTTCTATAGCGCCAAAATTGTTACCGATTATCAACTATTTGACACCATTTTATGAACCCCGGACGGTCTAAATATGTCTGGTGAAGTTGACTTGTTTCCTACAAAATAACTGGATAACTTAAGAATGTAGAATACGAAAAAAGTTATTTTCAGAACACTAGGTTTCTCACGTTAGGTTGACATATGATAAACAGGGTTATTAGTATTATCAACTGACTTGATAACGTAAATTGGCTCACTCTTAAGAGTTTAAAAGCTGACGTTTCGAGCGGTAGCCCTTCGTCTACCGCTCTGACGAAGAGCTAACGCACGAAACATTAGCATCAAAACTCTTTACGGCGCGGTGGCCAATTTATGTTATCAACTCTGTTGATAATACTAAATTACCCTGTTATACCCTCCCACTGACGCAGCACCACAGTTTCTTTAGAAACTTACCCTCTTCATTCATTTGGCATATAATAAAGATTGACATTGTAAGGAATATTGTTATAATTTCGAGAAATTCTTAAAATAATGAACCGGTACAGTGAAAAATTTCCTGGCTACAAAGTTACAAAAAATGTACAAATCGTCTGATGAAACAAGCTCGAGAATGCAATTTAATAGCACAGCATTCATTACGTCAACCAAAGATACTTGGAGTTGAAAATAGCACTAGATGCCAATATTAAAGTATGACGATTTCCTCTCTTGGAAAAAGAGAAAAGACCGACACGCGATGAATTTTGAAGAACCCACTTCATATATTGAGATAATATTTTCATTCATACCTTGGGTGGTTTAAAAGGATAATCTGTTGGAAAATGAATATCCAGGAAAAATACTCCTCCTTCGTAGACGGACTTTGGTGGACCCAGAATTGTTGAGTTCCATTCATACAGGTTGTCACCTTTAGGACCAGCGCTGTAACGAAAGGCATAAAAGATATCGCGTTACGAACGAAACATGCAATTCTCAGCTGTCAACATAATTGAGAAGTGTTGAAATCCCCCTGACAGTGCGGATAGCAGACAAAATGACCTCGCAAAAAAATAATTGAATATCTCTTTCTTGCCGACAAAACAATGATTTTATTTATTATTATCAATACACGAACATTTCGATTTTTCCTTATTTAGTCATAGGCTAAAAAATTTCTTAACGGCGCGGCCATGTTTAAAGAATAATTGTTTACCAAAGTTATTTTCAAACGTCTTGCGAGATAGAAAACACATGGAAATTCTGGAGAGACAAAACAGTTGACCCAGATGTAAACCACGCGAAAATTTATGTATTATAATTCACGTCAATCTGTGTTAGAGTTTCCTACCGCTGTGCTTTTAGCTAAAGATACTCGAAATTCGATGAATTAAGAGATTCGCGTTCTTACATTAATGCATTTTACACCAAGCAACAGCCAATCCAAGTTCCTAAGAGGTTTCCCGCTTGGAGGATACTTGAGATTTAATGTCTGTTATAGACATAAAAGTCTATGAACCGACAACGATCGAACTGTAAATTGAACAGAATTTACATTCGTGAGTGTATTCTGACCGCCGGGCATTCAGTCCATAATTTATGCCGGGCATTTAGACACAGAAAAGTCTCAGCATTTGGAACAGAACCGTGGAGAAAAGTAAAGATAGGATTTCTCTTACTTTTGTATGAAATGAAAAATCTAAAAAGTCATTTTATCTAGCAGCGATAACTGGTTCTATAAAAGGATTGTTCTTGCTAACAATCACTTTGATAACCTTAGAGGTCACTGATAAGTCGAAGTGTCAATCAATTGAAGAATGTCTCCGTCAGTTTTCCGTCTAAACCGCATGGCTAAATTTCAATTCGCTTGAGTTGCATAGAGATTTCTCTTCTCAAAGCAACCCACGAAATTCCATTTGAGGGAAACAGACGCAATTATTCCAACCGTAAGCCGACGAAGGAAAACTCGCCATCGAAAAACAGTAACAACGATGAGGGCAAAATAAGAGATTTGTTGTAACTCTGTATGATTTTTCGTGATTTCTTGGAAAACTACCAGCAGCAAATGTTCGTGACTTTAAGCGTGTGCCCAGAGCGATTATATTCGAGAAACTAAAATCGGTGAGGACAACCATAAATCTATCGGGGAGCATGTAAGCGAAGCTTTGTGTCATTTAGCGAATCAAAAACATTTGGATACGGATATGTGAAAACCTCATTCGTCTGCATGCAATTCGTTCATCATCTTAATTGGGTGATCGATTGAGCAGAATTGATTTAAATACGCTATAAAGACAGAATTTCGGTGATGTGAGTTTTGTTAGTTCAACAATTAGCTCTAATCACTGGAGTGGAAATTTTTGGGACAATCATCCATTCAAGATAATTTTTTGCGACAATTTCCAAACATTAAATCTACGAGAAAGCACTTTTGAAAATATGAATGTTTACTAGTTTGAGAGAGACGAATTAAATACGCCTTCGAGGTTTCAGGAACATCTTGGACTTAGTTAATTTCAGGGATAAAATTTTTAAGTTCCGGTTGACAATAACCTTTTGCAATGAAGTATGGAGAGTGTACGAATTCATGCAACGCAGATGACAAGTCACAGTTGTTATGTAAACCTCATCCCTCCAACATTTACTATGATATGAGGCAGGTGTCCAAAACCTCTTTGCATAAATTATGAACACATCCAGATCTCAAAATCTTCCGTTTTCGAAGCGGTGACTCAGGTTGAAAGATGTGGACCGGTATCAACCTCACAAGGCATTTAATGTGTTCTAAAACTTGTGTGTTTACCAAGCTCAAGACAAAAATAGCAGCAGGGCAACGACATTCTAAAAATATACAATGAGCTCCGACGCATAATTAGTTTTGGCTTCGGTAACAAAGCCTTCGTACACTTTAAAATACCTCACAACGCCTTAATATCATCTTATCAGTCCACAATAATTGACTCAAGCCGCTTTCGTCAAACTTTGGAAGAAATTTTGTTGTTTCGATGTGGTTTTTTTTTTTTGCCACTGAAAAGAGGAACCGACAGTTCGCCGTAGTCGTGATAAAACTTTTTCATCATGTTTCATTCACAATACGAAACAAAAACCGCAACCATTGTTTTCCAAACAAGAGCTTTGAAGGGTGAGCGTCTTGTGAAGGCCTGAATTACCTGCAATTCGGTGGCGGTTCCAGTGTGATTTCTGCTAATTCCCTTTGAATTCTGAAAATATAAAATAAACCAATTTAGTAAGAAAAAACCAATCTGTCATTGCCTCCTTTTAGCAAAGCTGATAGTCCCAATTCCCAACTGTGGAAGGCAAACAAAGATAAAGACTTACGTCAATATCGGAGATCACAAATAACCCTCTGCCGCGATACCAAACTCGCGCTCGTTTTCGCGAAATTCGCTCAGTTTTTCCCAATCTGATCAAATCAGGCGATTCTTTGAGACATTTACTAAATACCAAGCTATTTCTGAACGCAATCGGACAAATTTCTAGCGCGAGCGAGCTTCACAAAGTTAACATGCAAATTAACGATCAACCGACGCATCAAGTGAACAAGGACTTTGTGTTACATTCACTTCACGCTACAACGAACTAAGAAACTAGACAACGCCATGCCCTGAGAGAACGCGTATGGTTAGTAAAAGGTCTTTTCATGTAAGAGGTAAATTGAATAATGATCGTTGAAGTAAAAAAAGCAATTTCCCAGGGTCTACCTTTTAACAGCAGTTGATAATGTCTTGGGCGATCTTGCAGTACCCCCTTTCCTATCACGAAGTTCCCTTTTCAAGGTCGATGCTCTTGTGTTGTCATTCTCCTCAGCTGTTGGTCGGTTTGCCTGCTCTGCTGCCCGCCCAGACATCTAGATAAAACCTGTGTTTAATACACAAACAGCCATAAAGAAATCTCATTGAAACAACACGCGGAAATTATAAGAGCTTTCACGAGCTGATGTGTGAAAAGCTGAAGCTCAAGCAAGCTGGCCGCTGTAACATACAGCCAAATAGGAATTATTTCACTACAGGAAATGGACCGGCGAATTCCTTCATAAATGGACTACAAGCAAGTCTGCTTTCGAGAGGCAAGCGATTCGCGATCTCGAGAAAATGCAACACTTTAACATTGAGAGAGATCTTGAAGAACAAACATGGCCGCCAGCAGATGTCTTTGCGGTTACGTCCCCAGACATAAAAAACAGCGCAAAATATGCTCGTGTTACGACAGAACGCACGTCAGAACACTCACAGTGAAATGAAGTGTGTCTCTAGGAGGTTTTCGGACTCGTTACACTTGTCACAAAGGCAAGATATGAGAATGAACTTTAAGCTCGCAGCCCACCCGTCATGTAGGCGTCACAAATGCCGTCTGCTTGGAAGATGTCGAGTATTTCCGCCTGTCAACGCGGTGTCAACAATTAATTAATGGTAGTGCGCGTAGACACTAATTTAGTTCAAAGAAATATCTCCCTAAGACCAATCGCTTTATTGAAAAGGGAGTTATCAGTTGAATGTGGGTTAATACTGGTTACTTTCAACCTATTTTTGAGGTCTTGTAAATTGATTAGCAGATAAAAGGTTCGGCTCACCTCAATTCAACGTCTGCCTATATCAGGCATTTTGACATGTCACAAAGATTTAAGCTTTAAGAGGATTTGGCATCATATTTAGAGATTTAAACACCGTTCTTCATACCTGCGTAGCGAAGAGAACGTTGAAAATTATTTTGAAATGAAAGTGTCGTCAATAGATCATTTAGATAGCTTTTTAGCAGCCTAATTTTGCGAAAGTAGCGCTTCCAGAGACGACTTAAGCACATCATGTTCTAATTAAGCAAGAAGGTAATCCGTTTGTTGGTCGAAGCAGCCGTGTTAGGGACAAAATGTATTTTATATTATTTGGTAAACCTATTTGCAAGCATTTCAATATTTGATTTACGACGGGTAGTTTTTTATCATGGGTAGCACCTGTTTGACAATCTGAATACACAAATAAATCAGGTGAACAGAGAATGAAACTTTCCATTGCGGGATAATAAAACTGTGATTGCAGCGTATCATCATAACACTTGCCTTCAGATAAAAAATTCATAGACTGCCCGTTAAGTCCAATGATATGACTCTGCATTTTAGACTGTTGTAATGAACTAATGAAGCATTTTCAAGGGAAGAAAGAACAGTAAGCAGTGCAACAGATTTTTCTCAATAGCTGACACCAATTTAGAAATGAACACGCCAGCGAAGGCTGTAATCCAAGTTTCCGGATCAGTGCCGCTCTCGATTAGAGTGAATCACTTATTCTTATCGGCATAAAAACCTTCAAAGAAATGATGGTCGAATCAAAATTCATAGAGTTCTGTTTTACTTTCATATTTTTGAAGATCATAGAGTTGTTGCTGTTGTTGATTTCTTTCTAACGTATTTGAATGAAACAAAACTTAAATAATATATCACCTATCGGCGCGATCAGTTTGGAGAGCTGTCCCAACAATACAGCAAAACAAGGTTAGATACCTTTCTTAACTCTGCCAATTGACGGCTGCTTTGATATTTCCTATATGTTGATTTATAGCACATTAATTTGTAGATTTTTTTAATAAATTCATTTTCCAGTAGAAAATCTTTTTCATATATTTTGCCTTCAGATTAAAGTTTTAACATTTGTGCATCGAATTAAGCCGGTTTTTTTTCTAGGCCCTTGCATAATGCCTGTCTTTGCTGAGTAAAAATTTTATTAAGAATATAAAACTTTCAATTTCTGCCGTAAGAGGATCCTGTGTTTACCCAATGTTTCGGTTTGTTTACCCATTTGATTGCCAGACCGAACTACGGTTATTCATTTCAAAGTCAGAAGGCATTTGTTTGACTTTGAAGACCCAAATAATAACTAAAATGATTTTTGTTTTGTCTGTTATTTTAGGCGGGCATTCCTAGAAACGGATTTCGTAGAGTTGTCATTAAAATTGTTGATGAAAATGAGTTTGATTAATACGAGTTGAATTAAACCATTCAACTCGTTATCAAAGCTTTGTCCAGCTCTCTTGCGTTCTGGCTTATCTGTGAATATTATTTCAAATCATTAATATTTTATGAGCACTGTAGAGAGAAAATTTGCATACTTGTCGTTGACTGATCACTCGAAATAACTTTCTCCTAGAATATTTCCTTGGAGGAGAGTTTTTAAAACTACAAAACTGTTATCTTGTAATTAAGAGATAATTATCTGTGTTAATGGCAAAAATAGGTTCTTTTTCTACGATGACCCCTTGGGAATTTTCGTGTGTTGTCAAGCGTGCGATTTATCGAAGCGTGAAAATTTCAATAACACTTCAAAACAATAGCAAATATTTTGTTTAAGTCCGCGCAATACAGGCATTGTTCAAAAGATTATTAACGAGTTTGTACAACAACAGGACTACAAAACATTTAACGTGGCCTTTTTGTTTCAACTATGGACTACTGGTCATGATTTCAAGGAAAGGTCGAATCTTAATGTTACAGATAATGAGCTTATGTAAAGTGATTTCAATAAGCCCTGAGAAGTCTTAAAAAATCATTTTACGAAGTGATTGGATAAAGTTTAAATCCTTTGGCCCCTTGTTAATTCGTACATTCCAGTACCTTAAAGCTCAACATTCTATTTGTTATTGGACATATAAAAAAAAGCCGATCAACTTGTCATCTACGCGATTACAGAACTGAAAAATATTTATCCAGGGATAGAAAAAATAACTCAAATAAATGAAATACTCCTTGAGGGTTCTTCTCAAAACCGCAATTTCCGAAATCTTGCCAAACAATAGACACATGTTGTGTGGATGTTGCAAAACGCCAAGAAATCCTAGTCAATTCGTGATATGTTGAAATAAGACGATAAATGAATAAATTTCACCCATGTTTCGATTATGATACGCAAATTTGAAAATTTATTCGATACGCCAGGATCTCAGTAATAGTTCAGTGGGCAAAGGAAATTGTGGAATCCAGGCAACTTTGGCAAACCGCAATGGTTTGAGTTTCACTTTAGGAAACTTGTGGGTTTCCTATTTGCAAATTTACAATTTGCCGAGAGTCAATTCCTCTCCCTTGTGTGAGGCCTTTCAATCTCCGGTTTCCCAGTTGTATTACCACATTGCCTTTCAGAGAACAAACAAAGTCCTTGGGACCATTATTTGTATTCGACTCGGAGGGTGTCAATCAACAGACGACGGGCATTGTTTTATTCCCCTGGGAATCATCGACAGCTGTTTCGTGTGATACTCGACCCCCTTCAAAAGCTCACCACACACGGCCTGTGATTGGTCGATTTTCTCGTCGTGTCGATGGCCGATAAATTAGTATTATGACGCAGTCTATTGATAACTTAATGACGTCTTTCCTTGACAGGCGGAGACCAATAGTAATGCCTTGCGCGCTTGATTACTGAGTCAAGAACAGGCTCGGCAGCTGGGAAAAGTGGAAGACCGAAAAGCTTGCTCCATCTACGGTTAGAGTTATCTTCTAACCATTCATAATCGTCACATCCACACCGAAACAGTCCATTTTCACTCTAAAAGGTTAGGACATCATCTTAGGACTACGTGAGTGTTATTAATATCACTGTATCATGAATGATTTGTTCATGTTTCACCGTGCCGTCTAAAGAGTTTCCTGCCGACTGAGTCAGACACGATCTATCGAGCCGGGGAAGTTTAATTTTGGGAGGCAGAATTCCTATTTAAAACGGCCGATGATCGTATCTTTACTAACAGAAATAATTCTTTGTCTAAAGGCCTTGTTATGGGCGATAATATAATTGCAGTACAGATCACGGTGAACTCGTACGCAGAGTATAACGGGAAGCGTTCTGAATCTGGTAGAACAGGCCGCCATCATTAAAGTGTGACACTGCCCTTTAATCAAATCTGTCTTAAGATTGTCACGTGGTGTACTCATCTTCTCCAGTTTTCTTTGGGAGGCGCTCTATCACCATGGCATGTTTATTCGCCGTATTTAGACTGTGTGGGCGCGTAAAATTTGTTTTGCCATCAAGGGATCTGAGGAGTGTCTTTAGGTGTCAAACAGCGCGCCTGTGTAAGTGGACCTAACTGAAAAATCCTCGGCTATCAAGTAATATCGTTAATTTCCCACCATCTTAGGGGTCGCGGCCAGATTTACAAATTCACCTCGTGAAATCCTACGCTAGCTTCATCTTATTGACGATGTCAGAACACACCGCGTTGAGTTCTTCGTCTAATGCCGATGACAGAAGAACCGTTCAGCAGAATGAGGGCCCATCATCTGGGACTACGGGCACAAAGCGGGCTGCTCGCAGTCGCGGAGCCGCCTCTCGGCCCGTGAAATCTGCATCAACCTCCGCCAAGAGGTAAGTTGACTGGCGCAAAGCCGCAGATTGCGCATAATTTCCACAAGATAGTTTAGGCGGAGACAGCGATCACATCAATTCATCAGATCATCTCTAATTTGCATGTTAAGTTCACTTCGTCCGCGTTCTCTGTTCTTTCGACTGAAAGCCGAGTTATTGGCCTTGATATTGTCAGGAGTGCCTAATACACTGTTTTAAGTATCGGCCTTATAATTTATCAGATCTGAGATTGTTAGACTCTCAGTGCTACCAAAGATGTTCCGTAGAAGGTTAGCTTCATTAACATATTTCCCTTTCTCGTGGCAGCTCTTAATTATAAAATGTAATTCTTTATTTTCTTTAATGTGCTGTATTTCAGAATTCAACGAGAATTGGCTGAAATTGCCCTCGATCCGCCGCCGAACTGCAGGTAACTTTCTCTCCTTCTTCGAGCTCAAAATGCGATGCTGGACTTTTGAAATTTTTGTTTGGTCTCAAAACAATAGGATTGCGAGTTTTGTTTCTCGAATAGTAAGCTGTCTTTTAAACATGCTTCGGCTCTTTTCATTTTAGCGAAAGCAGAATTTACCGCAAAGGCTTAATAACCAAACAGCCGGAACATTCGTCAAATATTTCATCAGTTAGGGAATTTCTGCCAATAAAACAGACACACAAGGCTGAATTATTTATTTTAAAGTGGTAAAGACATTTAATCTAGCCACGTGGGATAGAAAGTCTTTGTTTTGTTAACTTTAACAAGGTATGCTAAAAAAAATACGCGTTACGCGTGGATAGTTCTTTACATTTAGCGACTTATTTTAGCGGCTAACAAATTGAATTCAGTATCACCAGATTTCCTCTTTAATTTCACAAACTTCTGTTCACGTTTGCGGTAATCAGGTAATCGATACGTTGAATATATAAGAGTTTGGAGTCTGCTTTTCAATGCATCGCTCTTGATTGATTCCTCCGTGTTATGACTTATTGTATGTAAATCAACAATTTCTCCGACACCTGCGTTCGGATTA